CTTGATGCATAATATGTTCACTATATACATTGAATAGAATAGATTTTATCTATTCAATTCAATGTATATAGTGTCCCTGTCCCCATCCCTGTCGAACTCCAGGTTTTAATTTGAAGTTTTTCGGGATCACATTATTAACTCTTACATTAACAGTATTATTTACATATAGTTTTTGTAATAAATAGATTAGATGTTCTGGAGTACCCATTTCTTTAAGTATATGTCACTTTTTATCCCACTTCATGATATCAAAGATGAGCCATACGACAAATGCGGAAGTCTTGCGGAGGATGGATAAGGAAAGAGAGTTTATGCTTATAATAAAAGAACGAAAAACACAATATTTTGGTCACATCATAAGAAATCAAAAGTATGAACTGCTCCAACTTATAATCGAAGGCAAAGTCTATAGCAAAAGAGGACCAGGAAGAAGATGCAACTCTTTGGCTTAAAAACCTGCAGCAATGGACGAACATGACCTCCATAGAACTATTCAGGCTGCTACAAATAAGATTAAATGGACAAATGTAATGGCCAACGTCCTAAAGGATAAGGCACCGTAAGAAGAAGAAGATACAGGTGTATGTTTAGATGAGTCATGTCCAATTAATTAATCAAAAATACACCATGGACTCAAGTCATCTTTATCAGTTTCTTTTTCTTGTATTGATTTATTGTCAATGGTACAAACTTCTTTTTCTTTTTTTTTTATAGAAATAACCAGCTTCTTAACTCTTTCTTTTGTTTTTTATAACTAGGTATTTTGATTACTGAATGCGTTTCGATTTACGAATGATTTGCATTTTCGATTTCAAATCTTTATTGAAAGTTCGTCAAAGGATTTAGTTATTGTAAATGTGCAATTAAGAATTCTTTTTCTTAGTCAAAATTATTGACCTAGTCCTAACAATAATAATTTTATTTTCAAAAAATGCACATTTGTAAAAGACGCAGCTTTTATGGTCCACTTTCTGAATATTGCAATGATTGAAACTTCTCCTGACGCATTTCTGTCCGTTTCGGCTACTTTTACTACAAGTACTGACATACTGCCACCGCCACCCAAGCGTCAAAAGGTGATGGATACTTCCATTAATTAAAATATTAGTTAAGAACAAAAGAAACACAGAAATGGATTTACTAAACCTATGCAAAGACTCGTTTCATCCGTTTTTCATAGTTGAAGAACGAGCTTCTAAAAAGTTTGCAGGATGGATTCCGGGATATAAACCGCCAACAAGAAAAACTTTGTCTGGTTCGATTACTTCAAGAATGTTATATCAAAACTGAGCAAATTATTAGATCACAAGTTGTTAAAGAAATCTGGAAGAACTGAGAGTTACATTGCATTAACAGGACAATATTTAACCAAAAATTTAGAATTTAAAATGAACACATTTAAATTGTTTTGCTCATATGTTAAATTTATTGGTGGACGACGCACTTAAATGCTGTCGTGTACAAATAGATAAAATAAAAAGTCCTTTTTTCGACAATTCGGTAAAAAACACATTTCAAAAAAGTACCTTATCTTCAGAAAGGCTTTTAAAGTATCAGTTACAATATAACAAAGTTCCCAAACGGCCAATACAAGACGTGGAAACTAGGTAGAACTTCACCTACTACATGTTAAAAAGAATGACTGAGTTAGAAGAGGTAATCCGTTCCACATTTTTATTAGTTAATACAGACTTAGACCTAGACCAAATCTAAATAATGAACACTGGATTATTTGTTATTAGTTTTCCCAAATTTTACGACCATTTAAAGAAATAACAAGTACAATGAGGGGTCAAAAATACTTGAAGGGTAGTTCAGTGATTGTTATGGTACGTTGCCTGCAAGAATATTGCAATAAAACGCTTTTTATAATAATAATTTTATAATAAAACGTTTGCTTTAGCAAACGGTAACCCTACTTCCATAATATCCAACGTAGTACAATTACTAATATCGGGTTTAGCAAAAAGATTTAGATGGATAGAATAGAGTGACACATTGTCGTTATGTACATTTATGGATTCACGACTTAAAGTGCAGGGATTTTCTGATTAAAATTAAGCTAAAAAACAAAAGAAAGAGTTAAGAAGCTGATTACTTCTATACTTAAAGAACAAGAAGATTGTACTATTAAAAATCAACCAGTATAAGAAAAAGAAACCGATAAAGATGACTTAAGTCCATGGTGTATTTTTGATCAATTCATTGGACGTGACTCATCTAAACATACATCTGTATTGAGAGATATAACAGAACCCGACATGTATTTGTCTGGTGATATATTACCCACATACACCTGTATCGAGAGTCCATTACAATGGTGGAAAAACCATCGCCATATATATCCTAACTTAACCACTATATTCATAAAGTATTGTAAATGTGAACATATGTTCAAAATCTGGTTTAATTTTAAATAAAAAATGAACACGGTTAACAAGAAGTAAAGTAAAAAAAATGTTTTTAAATGTCAATTTAGACGATCCGTGATTTAATAATAACGTGTAATGTAAATGTAAGTACGATTTACTATTTGTATTGTTTAGTTTATTTTTCAAGTTATAATAAATATATCCCTCATTAGTTTTTTCACTTCAATAGATATACACATAAACGATAATAGCCATTATGTTTATTTATGCAGGTACTCTCTTATTTAAAACTACTGTTAAACAATCATAGTTACTTGTTTACGAATATCGGTTTAGTTGCGTTTAGTTGCGAAAATTTCGGACCAATGCTTTTTAAATGCATTCATTTTTTTCGAAGATTCTGAAATTGCTATCGAAGTCGTAGGTGTAGCTCAATCTTAAGATTTATTTCTTAAAACTGAGTTGGTCAAAGACATCTTCAACTTTCCGTGCTTCTGTAAGAAAATCATAACAGTTGTGACTGATTCTCGAGAAATATTTTCTCTAATAATTTTGTGCAATAATCCGTACTTCTTCTTCTTCACGTGCCATATGAGAGTTATCCGACGTTGGTGATCACCATTGCAAAGGCTTCTCGATCTTTTGCCACATGAAACAATTGTTCTGCATTTGATATCCCAGTAAATTGATGAATGTTTTTTAACCAAGAAACCTGTTTCCTTCTTACAAATATATGGCCCTATAGCCTTTAAGGATCAGTTGTAATATCATATATTGATTTCTCTATACCGTGTGTTCCAGATAAGACGTTGTCTGATGTTTAACAGTCTTTAGCATTTCTCGATCTTTGTTGACCCTACTTAATACTTCCTCATTAGTTTTTCTTGCTGTCCAAGGTATCTTCAGCATTCGTCTATGTAACCACATTTTTAGTGCTTCAATTCTGTTAATAATAATTGATACTTTTAGTGTTCACACTTTTGCTCCATACAAAAGTAAAGACCAAATACAGCACTTAACCATTCTTTGTCTTAGTTCTAAACTGAGATGAATATTCCAAAAAAGGTGTTTATTTTCATACAATTAGTTTTATTAATTGCTATTCTTTGTTTTATTTCTATATATTGATTTAGTTTTAACTACTATTTTAATGGAAATAAGACAAAATTAAAGTTTAAAATAAGTTTATTGACGTTTTAATTTCTACTTTGGAAATCTGTTTCAAAAATGGCTCTAGTTGGTACGTTATGACAGTTCTCAAATATGTAATCTTGTGACCTTTTTCAACTTTTAATTAAAGCTCTGCATCTGGATATAGGTTACGACTAAAGACGAAAAATTTGGGTGTGTTTAAGTTTATTTTAAATCCTATTTTCTCTCCTAGTTCGTCAATACGATCAAGCAAAATTTGGAGAAATTCAATATTTTCTGACAGAATTACTGTATCGTCTGCGTATCTAATGACATTAAGTAGTTTTTTGTTGATTTTGATTCCATATGGCTGTCTTTTAAGTGCCTTTTTAAATATGTGGTCCAAGTAAATAGAGAAGAATGTTGGGGATAAAATGCAGCCATGTTTGACTACTCATTGTATGAAGATTTTGTCGGTGAAAGTGTCTCAAATTTTCACGATAGCATATTTAATGTAAAAAGTGTCTCCCAAGTTTCCATAGCATCTCTAAAGCCAAATTGGGTATTTTCGAGATCTTTGCATTTGAGTCTAATTCTGTTACGGAGTAGTCTTAGATGGACTAAAGCCAGTCTGCCGGAATCACTCCAGTGTTATATATTGCATTAAAACGTTTTGCTAGTACTTTTTATACTAGATTTTATAAGTTAATTCTATAACCATTGTTTGTGGAGACTTTGTTAACTTGGTTTTTAAATTTATTGCATAGTTTCTTTGGTTATTCTAGTTATTCTCCGATGTTAAATTCTTTTTTTATGTTATCTTTTATGCTTATATCATCAAAATAAATTATACTGGTTTTTGGTTTTTATCGTTGGATTCGTTTTAACCTTACTTTAATATATGCCACAAGGGGTTGGTGCCTTGATAATCCAATATCTGCTTTTGGAAATGAAGTAATTTTTTTGACGGTATTTCGGAAGTGCTGACTTACAAGTATGTAATCCATTTGGATTCTTGAAGACCCAGGGCTGCTACTATAATTAAATAGAGCTTTCCAAGTATATAGTCATTGCTTAGGTAGTTTATACCAGATGTTTGCAATGACCATGTCGCTATGTATACAAAATTCATACAATTTTTGTTCTTGATTGTTAGGTTTTCCAAGACAATAAGAACCTACAATTTGACCTCGTCGACCTTCTTAAATTTTTGCATTGAAGTCGCCTATAATATATAAAATTCCATGTTTATTAAGCTTCTGTAAAATGTCTAGGATTTAATGACAGAGTTTTTTTAACTTCATCGTATTCATCGTACTCATCATAATTCGCATCTGTAGTAGTATTTCCAGTAGATCTATTTTTATTTGTTTTTTATTTCTTTAATTGCATTGTCAAGTTTTCCTTAGCATACAACTATTAATACAAGTATACTTATATAAATAAACATAAACATAAACCTCTAGGATAGTCATTTAAAATTATAAATTTTTCTAAATGCCAAGGAGTATGGTAAGGCACAAATCATTTGATGCCAACGCCAACATATCTACGTAATGATGTCTTCCCGGCAAGTTGAGTACAACTTTTAAGCGAATTTGTCATTACAACTGGGTCTTTTGTGTTCTACACAATCTGGGAATCTGGCAATTGCCTGTTAGATTTTTCGTTTTAGCTGCTTTCTCCATCACTTATACATCCACTCGGCAAATAAAAGGGCTAGAGCGAATACCGCTACTCTCAACATATCTGGAAAAAAAAAATTTTTTTCTGTATTTTGTCCCGTACAAGTCATGCTGCCTCCACTGTAGTGTGCTTCGTTTATAAAAATTTGTTCTTCTTTTTTCTCATTATAATTTTTTTTCTTGTATGCAAGAAGTTTTTGCACACATAACAAAGACAAAAATCTACGTCACTGTTTTTTTTTAATATTTTAACAATTTGATATCTTTGTCGTTTATATTTATTAAACTGTTTTTACAGCTTGATCTAAATTTAAATTTACCAATTTTACATTTTTTAAAAGTCATTCTGTTTTTTCTATATTAGGTGTTTAATAAGTAATTATATTTTAAAAGGTACTTGCCTGCGTTGATATAATAACGATTCTGTACTGAATGAAAAATTAACAGCTTTTACAAAATTGAAACATCAGTTTCAAGTTTTTTCGCTCTAGTCTGTGACTTTATATGCGTTTTTAAACATTTTGTTCATTATATAAAATTACTTTTTTTCCTTTCCAGATAAAAATAATGGCTCTAGCATCGGCTGGCGAGAACTTATCAAGGGAAGCGAATAGAACGATAACTGTATGCTATGGCATTATCAACACCTTAGACAACAACCCGCAATACAATGTAGATGCTATCAAAGAAGAGCTTAACTTCTTAATTCAACAAGCAGCTCACAGAAAACCATGTCTCTCGGCATCTGGATTTTTTGTAGCTAATTCAACCATGATGGGATTTATCATTGGTAGCATCACTTCCTATGTTATAGTAGCCGTACAATTTTTAAAAGAAACTTCACCTTAAATTCAATAAAATAGTTTTATTATGTGTGCTTCTAGTCAAATAAACATTCTAATAACAAGTGTTGTTCAAAATTATTCTTCTTCCTATCTTTGCAAATATTAAACACAAGAATCATCCAGAAATATGAAAAAGAAGAACTACAAAGCTATGGATTTGTTAGAGTAATATTCAAAGATTTGTAAGCCAAGAAAGATAGGCCTAAGGGTAGTTTAAATTAACCTTAAATACTGTTTCTCAGGCTTAGCAGTCCTAGTAGCGCTTGTGAGGACTTTTCATATGGCACTTGTACAAGAGCCTTGGGTAAACCAAAGGGAGGTTAAAGGTTTTGGATTAAGTGAGAAGTATTGTTCTGAAGCTGTTTTTTGTGGCATTTTAAAGTAATTACTATTTAAATGGGAATAAGCTGTGATGTCCTCTCGTAGGAGTCACTATGCGGGTAGCTTTTGGACAGTCAGAGACAGAGTTCAAAATAAAAATAAAACTTTATTGTCTTCCTTAAATTAAATTGACAAAAATCTTATGTTCATATTTACAATTTGGTTTAGTCTTTTCAGTACCTGGCCTATTTATTCAAATTAAGTTTGACCTTGTCATATGAAATTAGTCTTATCGGCAAGCGAGTGTGTATTTGAAATTTTACGAGAACGTTGTATCGATTTAATAACAGCGGATGATAGGTACAAAGAAAGGAAAGGAACTCAACACGTTCCTTAAGTGATTCGGGTTAATAGGACACTCCTCGACAGTCTCAACACGACTGCTTCAGAGTACGGGTAATGAAGAGCTCAACACGCTCTTCGGGTAACGGCGGTATGGAACGGAACAACTTGTGAAGTCAACACGTCCACAAGCCGGGGTAGGGAAGAAGAGAACCTTCAGTCAACACCTGTCGATTCTGCCTCTATGAGGAAATGTTGCGGTTTATATAGCGGAGCTTGGTAATTAGTTTTGCCCTTTCTACTGTCGATACACTCCTACTTCATGGGTTGGTTCGCGCGCACGCTGGTTTAACGGTGATGGCTTGGACTCATCGTTATAAAGCCACAATTAAAGCTTAAAATATGTTTATTGACATTTCAATTTCCACTTCGGAAATCGTTCTCAAGATACAAACATTGTAATATTAATGTTCACAAATAGTTAAATCACCACTTGAATAGGAATCAGTAGGCAACGATTCTCTGAAGATGTCCTCAAGAACTAAGTGGCAGACAGTTAAAAATATTGTAATATATAAAATAGTAGCATCGGCAATAAACTCATGCGATCCCTATAAAATCTCCAAAAATAAATAGTATATATCCAGTGTAACTATAAAGGGGAACGGAACTTATATACAGCAGAATATACAATGTACTCAGAAGTAGTGTAGCCTTTGGGTACATACCTAAAGCATGGAGAGATACTACAGTAACTTTCATTCTTAAATCGGGGAAAAGGGGAGGAAAATAATAAAAGTTACAAAAACCAATAAATCTAATGTCATTCCTACAGAAGATATTAGAAAGTAGTCATCTCGCAAGGGAAGTACAATACGGTAGTCAGTAATTGCATAAATAAGGCCTTAGAATAAGTGAGACAAGGGACATACACAGAGGGGCCAAATATAAGTCCCCACTAATCTAACCATACTTGCCTTCACACTTAGACCGAAACAGAATAAGTAATTTAGTCAAAGGGAGAGGTAAAGTATCTCAGGGTTATACTTAAATCATATACCTATACAAAAAAACAAATAGTGTAGTTACAAAACTTATGAGGACCAGGCGTATATATGGAAAGAAATGGAGGTAAAAACCGGACTTGGTGTAAAAGATATACCTCATGGTGACTAAACCCTCAGTTACATATTAAACAGCTGCAAAAGCCAAACTCTGTAAGGTGCAGACTTGCATGTATAAGGGTAACTGATACCATATGTACTACCTTAACAGCAGCTAAGGAGCTCTACTAGTCGTGCCTCCCTTGCATTTGATAAAACAAAGAAAGTGAGGATTGCTAGGCTACAGAATAAAATAACCACTGAAACTTTGCAATTAATGTACAGGGCATATTATTGAGGTAGAGTATTGTAACTTTTAAGGTTTAGGTTTTAGGCAATGGGCGTCAATGTGTAACCATTGAACGACCCATCAGAAATGGTGAGTGTCAAAGGGTAACAACATAACGACCTCCGAAAGTTGGAAGCCAATTTAGAACAATAAATCTCAAAACTTTCTTTAGGAGCTAATGGTTAGGCTGTGTTGAGCTTGGTCTCTCAGGTGTGAGATCTGTCTTAGAAGTAAATATGAAAAATAAGTTTGGCTAGTACAAATAAATTAAGATATTAACTAATCATATTTATTGTTTATAAATAAATATAAAAATTGAAAATGTTGATATTAAATTCCAACTAACAAAACAAATCTTGCCTATAAGCTTTACATAAATAATTTTAAATGATACTAAAGTATGGCTTCAGGTGTTGTTTTCGAGAAGCTGGACAGAATTGCAGTATTCTTCACCTAATAAGATAAACAAAAATTAGACCAGAAAAACTAGAAAAAGTAACCTTGTGTTGGCACCTGCATGTGTTTTAAAATATTTCATTACCATATAAAAATTGAAAATAATTACAATAATAAATAACAAATAGCAAATTTTCAAGGAAAAATGGACATAATTAATATTAAAGAAATTAGGTAAATTATATTGAAGATACTTACTGCATATAAATATAACACTTTGAAAAATAAAACGTAGTGTGTGGTTTTAGGTTAAGGCAAATATAAAATTATAAAAATACAGATATAGATAAAAAAATGTATCAACCAGAAATGTTAGTGCTCACTCCAGGAAATATTTTTTATTATAAATGCATTGAATGTGAACCTTGTACTTTTTAAACCTGATGATGGAATTGTTATTCCGAAAACGTTTGTTTATATTATTCAATGTAGCCCTTTTAAGGGGTTTTTAAATATACCCACATACAAAGATATAAACTGTTTTGTTTATTTTAGTGTTTCTTCCTAAAAGACAGAAAATATTGATCTTTCACGATGAGAACCCCCATGAATAACTGTTCTGATGAGACCTATTACGAAATACGTATCAACAGTAGGGATGGAAAAAACCTATAGGTTTTAAGCGAAAACAGGTTTTTTTACTTTGAAATAACCGGTTTTATCGGTTCTTTTTTGTCCCGGTTATAACTGGTTATTTATTTTTAAAGTAAAAACCGGTTATTAGGTTTTTACAGTGAATAGTTTTAGGTTAGGTATTATTTTAGATCCCACCCAATCATAATTATTATTCTCAAGTAACTATTCCAAACAAAACTCAAATTCAACTTTTATTTTATTTTATAAATAGAGAAGCAAACTGAAAGTGCAAGCTCACATCAGCCAGAAACAATTAAATTTTATTATAGTATTTCGTTGAAAATATATTTGTAATCATAATATTTTTATCTAAGAAGTGAATCGTTCTGGTATTTATACATCATCTATTTTTCACACTTGACTCTTGACATTGAAAGTGGGTGAATGGCTTTTTCTGATTACCAAAAATAATGACTATGAATATCGAATTACCGATTACGAATACGAATCTCCAAGGATTTCCCTAAGTTTTCAAAACGATTTATACCCATACCGAAAGTCGTAAACGAATTAAAAGTAATACATGATAAAATTTTTTTTGTGGTAGTAAAAATAAAAGATGAATTGCATTATCCAATTTATTTTTAAGTAAAATATTTATTTCGATATTATTTTCTTTAAATCCCTTTGAGTCTGGAAAATTTTTGTTGGGGAATTTTTTTTTTCACAAAACACAAAAAATTGTGTTATATTTACATTGATATACCAATTTTGATCATATTGATATCGAGTAGAATGTAGTATCGCAAACTAAAGTGCATTGTAAATGTAACTTTCTAATCTATTGGATTAAAAAAATCGAAAACCTGTTTTTGCAAAAACCGGTTTTTTGACCGGTTATAACTGCCAGGTTAAACCGTAAGCAAAAAAAAACCGGTATAACCGAAAACCGGTGTTTTGTCAAAAACCGCCATCTGTAATCAACAGATACATAGGCGCTGTTTGCGTGAAATCAAATATTTGCTGTCTTTTTCATATTAATTAGTAAAAGCTTTGTCTCTGGAAGAAACTGCACCGTTTTTTCAGCGAAAATTGATACAATACTGCAATATGCAAAAGGAAATATTGAGATAGCTCTTGAAAAAGGCCACATCCAATTATTTTCTGACAGTCAAGCGGCACTGAAGGCACTGGCGTGTCAGAAAGTAACGTTTAGCCTGCATTCAAAAACTGAATAAACTAGATGGAACAAAGTTCAGCTTATCTGGGTACCAAAACATTAGGGCATCGAAAGCAACTAAAAAGCAGATCAACTTGCAAAAAGAGGATCGAACGAACCAAACGAACCGGCTGTAACTCTGGAAATACCAACCCCTGCAGTTCATAGGGCTGTAGAGGACTTGATCAAAGAGAGTTACGAGCGATATAAGGACAAAAGCTCAAAAAAAATTGGATCATGTAGAAAAAGAACAAAGGAACTGCTTCATATGGGCAGGAACAAAAAACTAAGAATAACAACAGGAATGTTGACTGGATATGCAACACTAAGAAAATGCCTCAATAAAATATTTACAATGGGTACCTTAACTGTAGACTTTGTGACAAGAAACTAGAAACTGCAAAACATGTATTATGCGACTGCGAGGCCATAGACCGTAAAAGACAAAAACTTGGCGGAACCAAGACGAAATTCTGGTAGATTCAAGATACACCAAGCAGAAGACCTGTACAAACTTTTACCGAGACAAAAATTGGAGATTATGTGTAGGAAACAACAATAAGATGAAAACAAAAGCTTTTAGCTTTTGTGATTACTAAGATCTTTTTGAACGGATGAGCCCAGAGAGAGAAAAAAATTTTTTTTGCCCGAAGCATAGGCTTTTTTGACACTATTCAAACTGACGTAGAATAAGGAGG